AGAACAGCAGTGTGTGGAGAAGGGAAACTACTTCAGAGCAGTGTTTAGTGTGCTGTGAATCAATAGGCACCCTCCTCATCACCACCAGAACGGTGGTGTTTGCAGCATGAGAGGGCAGGCAACAGCCAGCAGAAGTGCCATTTTCTCCTTACAGAGTCCAAATAAAAAGAGCACACAAAAGAGGGATTTGTTTGTGCTGCTCAAAGCAGCATTAACTATCCCTCTGTGTTCAGTGACCCCACCAGATGGGTCACAGTGCACAGATGCTGGCATACAGCCCTTGCCTGCAGAGCCACCAGGAGCTATGCAAGAGACCAGAAAGGAGACCACAGGGGGAATCTCTCTCCTCCCTTCCCTCCGTCCTGAGATCTCTCATTTGAGATGTCCCAGTCCAGCCAAGCCCACTCATTTTTGTGCCTCTCCTAGCCCTCTTCCCCTTTGAAAGGCTCGGTCTTCACTTCCAGAGTCTTTTCTTTACCATGTTTGTATACAGAAGATCATTGTGCTATTAAAGCACTAGGAGATGAATGGTGTTATATAACTGCCAGTTACTGTTTTATCATTTTTTAGAATGATGGAAGAGTAAATGGAAATGTAGACTCCCCTTGGGGCCAGGCTAAGCAAACTAAACTTATGTTACTGGTGACCCAAAAGAATATTCACTTCAGCATCCCCAAAATGGAAGAATGAAAGGGGAATGCATTTCAGTACGTCCTGTCCTGCATAAAATGACAAGCCATTAATAACTATGGCATATAGGCATGTGTGGGGTGAGAAATCTTCCATGATGTAGTTTCTAGTCAAAAGAGTTCACAAAAAGTGTTGGTTTGTTGTTGTTTTTTTTTACATTTGCAATGATTTGCTATTCATTAAGCTCTAATATCTTGTGGCTTTTGATATTCCAGAGGTTTTATTCAGCTTGCTTTTCATTCCAGGTCAGCTAACATAAAATCAATAATGGTTTGGACAGATTTCCTTCTTGTAATGAGCCTACAATTGGCATACATGGCCTAAACTCTCCTCCTGTTTCACATTTACAGGAACTTTCTCAGAGTGATTTGGTTCTCTCTTTCTCTCACGTTCTTTTGTGGCAGAAAATTGAATCGGCATGTTACAAGGCTTCTGCATTGTTTGTATCCCAGGCACAGACACATGCTGCCTTCTGAACTCAATGAAGCTTCCTGACATCAAAATCAGTTATAGCAAAAGCCGGTTCTCACTGCCTGGAAAGTCATCCAGGCCAAAGTTGCGATTCTTCATGCAGACCATCTTGGTACTCAGTTTGCAACTGATCACGTCAAGAGAACTGCTGTGATGAGGAGCGGCTGCAGGAATAGGCACTCTTTCTTTAGTAAGAATCTGGTGTTCTGATTACAATGTCCTGCAGCATCACTTGTTTTCAGGCTCACAAACTGTACCACGTACCTTATTATCTGTGCCAAAGTTGAATGGGAACTGATGGCTCTAAGGTTTCAGCAAGGTATGTAGTTCATCTTTAAGTAACAACCTCAAAGATAGTGCATCTAAAATACCTGCTGAACAATGTTTTTCTTAAGCATGTGCTCAAAGCTGAGCCCATGTTAAGCGCTTTGCTGAACTGGGATCTAACCATGTTTCTGGTCGTATTACTCAGTGTCTGGCAGCGACCTCTCTCATTAGAAAGCAAATCCTTTACTGCCTTATAAGCCAATAGAAATTATGCATCCTTGTAAAGAAGGTGTCAAAGCTGAGTTTGCCTGAGCTGCACTTGACAACCATTTAGAAAGCCAAGCCAAACAAATATTTTCAGCCATATTTTGAGAATAATTGGTTTTCTTTTTATTGGAAAGTTCCGTTGTTTTATTATGGAAGAACACAGCATGTTCAAACTGAAGGTCAAGGAATGATTTGACAAGCTTGTATAGAACCCTGTGCAGCAATCAGGGTATTTTGCTCTCACAGCGCCTGATCTGGATTGGGACAAATTCTACTCTCAGTTGTAGCAGGGCACATATGCTATAATCCAGAGCTGGATTTTGCAGTCTGGCTCCAGTGGGAAGTTAAAGGCCCCCAGCACCTTCCAAGACCAAGTCCTGTGGTATCCCTGCAAACATGAAGTAGGGTTCAACAAGCAGTCGTGATAACCTAACAGTCCACTGCCATTGAATGGTGACGATTTCACTCCTCCCTACTTCTTCACTTCCCTGCACCACTGACCTTCCTCATCCCTTCCTTGCACTGTCTCTGGCATTCACTTGCTTTCCAACTCACTAATTTGACAGAAAAATACGTAATTTGTTGTTGTTGTTTCTCCACTGGCTTTTCTGCCAGATTAGTGAGCTCAAGCAGCTCCTGGAAAAGAAGGCAGCACTTGCATATGTACTTACACAAAGACAGAACCAGTTCAGTGTAAGCAACAAAAGGGCACACAATGGAAGAAAACTGAAAAGGAAGAAGGAAGGCAAGGCCTTCCCTTTCCATAAGCAATGGGCTTGATGATCTTGATCCACCAGATCAGCTCAACCCACCCCCCATAGCCCTCATCTGCTTTCAGTTTTACATCAGTGTTACTCCACTAATTGTAGTAATTACTGTTATGTAATTCAGATCATTAATATCCAGAATCCCTGGCCATAAGCAGCATTCCACTGTTAAACAAGGGACTGTATATACAGATTGCCCCTGCTCTGAGGAGCTGACAGTCTAATTCAGCACAATGTACAACTGGAAGAGTGAAGTATGGAAGACAAAAGTGGTCAGGAAGGTGGCAGTAGTAATTAGAGGAAGACACAACCAAAATTTGATCCTGAAAGACTCACTGCATTGTTCCGTACTTATTCAGGTGAATCACATGGATTTAATCACTGAAAGTAAATTAAACTATTTGCCTGAGCAAAAAGCTTCACAATAAGTCCAACAATGATCTAGATCTCAGAATGTGCAACAAGCAATTATACCACTTCTTTGTTCCATTTTAGATTCAGTCTCACCAAAGAGCCAATTCTGCACTTAACCTGGATGCAAAAACTCTCACTAAAGCAAACAGGAGAGCTGCCTGTGTCTGGAGCGCAGCCGGACTGGGCACTTTGCCAATTTTCTTGCAGACAGCATCCTACAGCATCATTCCCCATCTAAATAAACAAGCAAACCAACCAAGAAACCAACATCTAAAATTAATGCAAAAGATTCTGTTCTCTATTATCAGATTCAACCTCCTTCCCCCTCACCCCTGGGTTTGGGGCTGAGCTCTGTGTGACAGTTCCTTATACCAAACACCAAAAATACTACTTGCTTGGCACTTAGCATGCTTGTTTCACTGAATAGGCAGGAAAAACATAATGCATTTGGCCATTATCATTAAATAGCATGGTAAGGAATGGGTAAGCAGAATTTGTGTCTGGACGAGAGAATGTAAAAGCACTGTTTTGCAAAGCTGATTTAAATTCATCACAGTACATATATCTGAGGTACTTGCATAAATTATAATCCTGATTTGGTATTTACTTAGTTGTATTATAAAATTTCTTAGAAACAAACCTTGAGCGTTGATAATCAAGACTTCTCTTTCTGCTAGTCTTGCTGTGCCAATGTATGTGGTAAAGGCATCCTTCAGCAATAAAACAGAAGTTCGAGGGGAAAACAAAGATGTCCTTTGCAAATGGTAACACAGCTCTTTGATTTAAAGTAAAGAAGCAACTTTGTGTCAGTCTTCACTAGCAAGCTGTACAGTGCTGTATTATCACAATGAAGATAATGTGTCATTCGTCTTTCAACATCTTAACTGTAAAATCCACAGCACTGAAAAGGTTTTGTTTGGAAATAAAAGAAAACAGGGATGTGTTTTGATGAAAGGTGATGTTTTCTGAGTCCAAGATATAAGCCACGCAACGGTTATTTAAGTAGCACGGCATGCCATGTTAGACTCTTTAAGTGCCGTCCGTTTCCAGTCTATGACAATTAAAAAGAGCGAACTGTGTACTCAAATGGTATGGATACATAAAGGTGACTGATACACCTGCCAAAATAATCCAGAGTGTACAATGAAAATAGTTTTGCAGATATTGCACTCATATTCTACTTTCTTGTTATATCTATCAATTTCCTCATGTTTTTGATCTGTTGTGCACTTGGATCAAAACCAGTAACAGCAGACATTTTTTTTCTTTCCGTCTCAAAAATGTAACAAAGATGTAAAACTGTAAAACTATCAAAAAAAAAAAAAAAAGCTGCACATACAGTTTTTTGAGCGGGGACAGTAAGCACAGGACTGAATTATTTAGAAATGCTGAAACAGTAAGGTAATTAATAAAATTATTTATGAAGAAGTATATCTACATTATTTAATAATTTAAGGCTCACAAAAAACTAACATATCAATGACAATAAAAGTTTTCTGCTATAGGGTTAAAAGCACCAAATTCACTTCACATACTAGATAACCAGATCTGTACTGATCACAAGTGGAAAACTCTGAAAGTGCTTATCTGCTAATGTTCCTAGTGCTTTAATGATGTCATACTTCACAGGAATAAGAAATCCCCTTTCAACCATAAATACAATTATACAGATATAAAATATATCGGAATAATTTCAGTTTGAAACTACAGTACAAAAAACCTCAACCTCCCTCACCCCCCAATCCATTCATTCTCCAAACACACACCCCCCAACTCTTTAATACTAAACTTTGAGCAACTGAATTGGCTACAAATGACCCACTTAAAACCAACCACCATTTGCTAAAATAAGTTTCTACAAATTAGATTTTGCACTGTCACAATTTACCAGCTCCTGCATCATGGAGCGTAGCTTATTCTTAGTCTATTTTAAAAATAGGTGACCCTTTGTGTCATGGAAAAAGAACATAAAAACATGTATTCCTGCAGGACCACTCAGGACAGTGATCAATAAAATACAGCCCAATTAAAAAAAGTAATTGGTACCAAAAGAATAGTTACAGTAGTAAGTTTCTGACACCAGAAAATCTTTCTGCATCTCTGAACTCTAATTGTCTCCTCTCCTTACAGGTCTGTTTCCCTATTGGTGTCCAGGCAGAGAGCATAGAGGGATTTTCTGAGATCTACATTACTTTTCGCTTTGATATTGGTTTTTTCTAAGGAGCTGGTGCCATTGTTGAACCCCTCACTGTTTTCCAAGTGCACAACAGATTTGTTCAGAGAGTTTCTACTGGATCTTCTCTTCACATCTCCCCCTGCTGTGCTGCCCTGAGCACTACTGTGTTCATCTTTGAGGATCGCTTGTTCTTCATGATCAGTCTCTCGGTGATAGAAATAATTGAAGTTGGATACAATGACCGGGACAGGCAGGGCGATGGTCAGCACACCTGCGATGGCACACAAGGAACCCACAATCTTGCCCCCCACGGTGACAGGGCGCATATCCCCATAGCCCACAGTGGTCATGGTTACCACTGCCCACCAAAAAGCATCAGGGATGCTGGAGAAATGAGACTCGGGGTCATCAGCCTCAGCAAAGTAGACAGCACTGGAGAACAGGATCACCCCGATAAAGAGGAAGAAGATGAGGAGGCCCAGCTCCCTCATGCTGGCTTTCAAAGTCTGTCCCAAGATCTGCAGACCCTTGGAATGCCTGGAGAGCTTGAAGATCCTAAAGACTCTGACCAGGCGGATGACTCTGAGGATGGCCAGGGACATGGCTTGCTGCTGGCCCCCGCCCCCATTGCTGCTGCCAAGGCTGCTTCTGCTAATGAGCCAGCTCGGTACCCAGGGTGATGAAGTAGGTGATGATGGCCACGATGTCGATGATGTTCATGATGTTGCGGGAGAACTCGGGCTTGCTGGGGCAGGCGAAGAAACGGACAAGGAGCTCAAAGGTGAACCAGATCACGCAGGTGGTCTCAATAATGAAGAAGGGGTCAGAGAGGCTACTGGGTGGCTGCATGGGTGGGGAGTCCCCGATTGTGCCATTCAAACCTCCACTTTGTGGGGGCACAGGCACAGGCATCTCCCTCTCATCCCTGAATTCCGGCAGGGTCTCCAGACAGAAGGTGATGATGGAGATGAGGATGACCAGCACAGAGACGATGGCAATGGCCCGGGCTGAGCTGGAGCTCTCTGGGTACTCAAAGATGAGCCAGACCTGCCGCTGGAACTCATTGCGAGGCAGGGGCTTCTCCTCCTCTTTGATGAAGCCCTCATCCTCCCGGAAGCGCTCCATGGCCTCCTCACCCAGCTGGTAGAAGCGGATCTCGTCGGCGAAGACGTCAATGGAGACATTGACAGGCCGGCGGAGCTTGCCCCCGGACTGGTAGAAGTAGAGGATCCCGTCAAAGCTGGGCCGGTTCCGGTCGAAGAAGTACTCGTTGCGGAGTGGGTCGAAGTAGCGCATGCGCTTATCCGGGTCCCCCAGCAGCGTGTCGGGGAACTGGTTGAGGGTGCCCAGCTGGGTCTCGAAGCGCAGCCCCGAGATGTTGATCAGCACCCG